TTTTTTTTTTTTTTTTGTTTTTTGTTTGTTTTTTTTTTATCGAGTATAACAGTTCGTGTAACGAAGAAAAAATTGACTAGACGACTGTCTAACCGGCGCAATTCCCACAACGAACCCTCGCCGTCCACTAATTGCGGCTATAGCCATCGGACTGTTCTTTTCTAATCGGCGTTTTACAGCTGTTCAATTTCTACGCGTGTCTACAAATCGTGAGAAAACAAGTGGATATGCTCCCTTTCGATCGTTTTTTTTTTGTTTAACTCCCTTTTTAAAGCTCCGGTTTTTTTTTCATAATGGCATTTAAGTCTGACGAGCACATAAATGCGCGCATATACGCACACGCACACACACGCACGCACGCACGCACGCGCACACCCACTCCTCTATGCACACGCTCAAACTACCGAGCGAGTGTGAATATATGTACAGGATGTCCCACGACCGGCGGTAAAATCTTCAAAAGCATAACACGATTCTCTTTAAGAAAAATAAAATGACCGCGGTAATTTAATCGTCACCACTTATTCGCATCCGTCGTGTCTTCGTCTTAACACGAAGTGAATGCAAAATGTGACGTAAGCGGCTCTAATTAGATTAGCAAACAATTTGCGCAAAACGTTATCCAAGGAAGTTCTCGTAAATATTGAATAGCAAAATATAGTGGATAATTATATCTACGATGTAACTTTTTCTACACACATTTTCGTTTTTTCTGATAATAAACGTCAGTTAAAACTCGTCGGGGAAAAATAAATGAAAAATCGTTAATTATAAAAAAACACACAGACGAGAGCAATTTCTGAAATAGAGTGGAATAAACTGGAGAATTGGTTTTTGTTTTGGTTTTAATGTTGTAGAAAATTAGTTCGTTCTTCCTTGTCAAGCGACAATCGCTCTTAAGTTGATTTAGTTTCTACCTCCAGTGAGGACGTTCTGTTTAGGTGTGTATGTATATAATATACAAACGTGTGTACTAGGCATATACATTACCACAATCCGGAAGTTTAAGTGTATATCGACTAACAACTATAACACGCGAAACTACCTTAAATAATGTATCTTATCCTTTGGTGGTGGCGATTTTTTTTTTTTACAAACCAGAATGTGAAAATTGCACATGTGTTTACTTTTTTTTTTTTTATATATTTGTAACACATCGATCGTTGTATCGAATCGTTGTACTAGCATAATAATAATAATAATAATAATGCGCTACTACAGAGATAAATAATAAATAATAAATAATAAATAATAAATAATAATAATAATAATAATAGAGAATAATAATATCTCGATTGTAATGCTCTACGACTAGATAATATCATTGATCACAATGATATACACGAGACAGGTTGCCAAGAGATATCAATCTCATATTAATATCACATACGTGTGTATATATATATATATATATATGTATATATATAATACAAAACATTGCAACAAAAAAGTTCACTTATCAATCTGTGATATATAATAAATGTAAAAATAGCTCAAAACTTTAGCTTCATATTTTAAGCAAAATTGATGTACTATACTATTGTAGTATGTATGACGTCAATCAATCAATCGATCAATCAATCAATCAATCAATCGCACACACGCACACACGCACACGCTGTTTCAGTATCTCGGCAACCTGTTTTTAATAATAAATACACGAACAAATTGACGCTTGCGAAATATATATGACTATAATCATGATCCATCGAGAGAAAGTAACAATACTCTCACTACGCATTGGTACAAAAAGAAGCGCAGAACAAAGAATATGGCATAAACGAACAATACAATAAGCAGTACGTAGAGAAACGAAATAATTAAAGAAATTATGAGACTTATACGTGGAGTCAAGCGAGTGGCGCGCAATATTGCGGATTTTTTTTCTCTTTTTTTGTTTTACTTGCGTGTTATATTTCGAATAAATTAGTATTGCTTAATCATTTAATATTGCTTATAGGGTCGTATATTTTATATGTATATATGCGTTAATAGCAGCGTGCGGCGTATTTATTTTATTATTATTATTGGCGAGTGCCGCGCAAGATGGAAGTAAAAAATCGAACGAAGCTCCATTGCGTGTCAAGCAATTGCCGATCGATCCTAAAGATCGATCCGGTGATCGAACGAGCTACGCGAAAAATATTTTCTTCGTTTTTTGTTTCTCTTTGCAACTTTTGGCGGCGAGGTTCTCTCTACTGTACATGCAAAATACGTTCTTCGTTAATAATGATCGTTGATCGCAAAAACAAAAAAAAAACAATTAGGCGGATCGCCCGCATGCTCGTCGGCCGTTTATGCATTTTTTTGGAATATTAAATTTATTATTGTTTGTTTTAGCTAGGCGACTGAAGCGCAGGTCCACACCCTCTCTATCGCGTTTTTTTATTGCATTTCCGAGTTGGCGGAACAGGAACAAATTATTTAAAAAAAAGAAAAAAGAACACATAATTGAGCGTCCCGCAATTTGCTTTATTCCGGAGATATTAAAATTCTATTGAGAAATTAGTATTCATCGAGAATTGCATAGTTATGACGTAATTGCGACGATGATCTAATTACGAAAGAGTGCAAGTTTATTCTGGCAACATAATTTAATATGTAGACCTACATCTGATGCATATTCATCGCGCAGGCGTGATTAATGATTTTTTCGTAAACGTGATTAAGTATTGAATGTGACATAATTAACAATTAGAATATACCACGCGGAATATTCATTATACAAATATTGTTAATTAATGTCAGTAAGAACGAAAATCGTAATTATGCAAATAATCCACGCAGGAAGATTTTTAATAAAGCGTTGTAACGTGTCAAAAATATTAAAAAAAAAAAAAAAACATTAATCTTTTAAAACATTAAAAGAACATTAAGAAAAATAATACCTTTTTTTTAATTTAAAAAATCTCTAGTTTGTAATATTTAATATTGATTCTCCAACTTGTCAATCTCTCCGCAAAGATCTAAACAAGATGATTAGAGAGGGTGTGGATTTTTTTTGGGGGGGGGCGATCGTTCTCCACATGCCTAAGCATATACTTATCGGTTTTGCTTCGAAACTTCGTTAAACTTCGATGTTTGCCTCTATATATATTAATTATATAATTCGTTGTGTCGAAACATTGCTTTGACCGTACGTGTCGTCGTATCGTTTTTTCTTTCATATTGCTTCTATAAAATATTGTGTATAACAATGGTTTTTTATGCGCCTATTAATCGAATTTTGCTCTAAGTATGTATCTGTATGTGTGTACATGTGTGTGTCTGTGTATGTACGTGTATATGAATCCGTTTATGCGACACCTAGTTCGTAACCGGTCGATCCGCGCGAGAGAACCGTTTCCGCGACACTTCCAGCGGTCATTTTCCGCTGTCGATTCGATATCGCGATTATCGCTCGCTTCGCTGATTGAAATGTGCACGTTGCCGGTTACGCGCGGCGCGTAAATCGCATAATCGCGCGAGACACGCACGTGTGCATCGACGATTTCGATTCGAGATAAATAAATAGAAATAAAAACACAAGAAGATAACACGAGACAAAGGTCATTTTTGTCTCTCATTGTGTGCCTTCGAAATTTGCAAAAATACTCGTTCGATTTTTTTGATACTTTATTCAACGACGATTGCTTATCGGGTAACTATACGTAGTCGTTGGTGTGTAACATATTTAATACTGTCACCTAATTATGTCATTATTATTTACGACATAATTATTTAAATGAAATAATTAATTAGTAGTTGAAAAACTTTTGTCAAAACTAGTGCTAGTTCGAAGATTTAGCGCGTAAGCCGCTGATCAAAAGATTAGCGGGTATTATTTAAATGCGAATTATCATACTAATTAGATAATATCTCAACACGTATTATTCGCTAATTTTCTCCACTAATATCGCAATTTTGTACATCAAAAATTTCTAAGAAATGATATCCATATATCTAATAATAATAAAAAAAACACCTCTACAATATAAGAACATGTAAAAGGCGTGCGCGCGCGCGCGCGCGCGCACACACACACACACGCTCGATACTTTTCTTTCTAAAATCTCAAAAAATAAAATTTGATCCCGTTACTGTAGTTAAAAATTAATTAGCAAAGCCACAATTTTGTCGCCACTGTATCTGTAAAATGCTGACGCGTCGCGGTATATAATTTATCTATCGTATCTGCGATCAATGCTCCATAAGAGCCCAATTATAGAGCAAAGTGATTAATTATAAATTACTTCCGCGCGCACAGTCGTCGATTACACCTGCGCATCTCGGTGATCGGCCTCGATCGTTGATCACGTTGAGCGCGTGACGAAAGGATCGAGGCCGCGCCGTGATCGAGATTGAACGAACGCGGTTCGAAAAAACCGCGATTACGGATCCGTCATCCGAAATCACGCGGATCCCGTGAAATCTTTTTGCCTTACTCTTTTTTTTTTTTTTTTTTTTAATTTAGGCAGCTAAGTATTCATAAATAATGTCTTCGTAACGAGCTCGCGGACTAGAATCGTACGCGCTAGTAAATATATATATATATATACTATGTATATAATAATAATAATAATATATATAATATAATAATATAATATCATATAATGTAATAGGTATATATATATAATCGACTAGAGTGACTAGACTCTGCAGTGTGGACGTCATCGTTCGACGTGTTTCTGTTTTACGACTTAACATTACTGGACGTTTTTATTAATGTTAGACATTATTAATAGACTCACGCTCTCCCTCTCTTTTGCTCCCTTGCTTTCCTTCTAACACTCTCTAACTCGTCTCGCTTTCTGGTTCACTCATCGCTTCCTTTTTCTCTTTCGCTCGTTCTCGTTCTCTCTTTCTCTCTCCCTTTCTTTCTCTCTCACTCTCTCTTTCTCTCTTTCTCTCTCTCTCTCTCTCTCTCTCACTCTCTTCCTCTCTAGCTCTCGTTTCTGTCTCTACTGGCACTTTTCTACTTAAAATCTACGGCAAACCTTATATCCTCTCCTTCGCTCTTCGTACCCTCGCGCCTCTTCGCGATCGAGCGGCGATCACGGGGCACCGCTAGCTCTCTCTCGATTCTTCAATATTCTTGACGTCGTGGTTCTTTTTCTCGAAGCGCTGCTACAAGCCTCGATTGGTGTTCTGTTGCTGTTGCGCGGTATTGTTAGCGGCATGTTGCGGCTGTTGTTGTTGTTGTTGTTGTTGCTGCTGCTGCATCTCCTCGTCACGTAGACACGCCGATTCCAGATGTTTGTTCAGATAGGACTTGAGGGCAAAGGTTTTGTGGCACCTCGAGCACTCGTAGTTCTTGTCGGCCGAGTGCGTCTGCATGTGCGCTCGTAGATTCGAACGATCGGCGAACGCTTTGCCGCAGTGGGCGCATCCGTAGGGTTTCTCGCCGGTGTGGCTACGCAAGTGACCCTGAAGCAGCCACGGCCGCGAGAACATTTTGCCGCAGACGCCGCAGCTGTGGGCGAGCTTGTGCGTGAGCACGTGCATCGCCAGGGCGGGCATGCTGACGTACGCCTTGCCGCAGTGGATGCACTTCTTGGCCGATTGCGAGTCCAGGCTGCGATGCGTCTGCTTGTGCCGCGACAGATTCGACGACGTGGCATATTGCTTGCCGCACTCCGTGCACGTAAACTTGGGCCTGTCCGGCTGGGCCGCCTCCTTGTCGGGCACAGCGGCACCGTTAGCGCCGCAGCGCCGTTTCGATCGACCGTCAGACACGAAGAAGGCCTCGTAGGTATAGGCGACAGTCTTGTTGCCAGTGCTGGTGCTGTTGAAGGGTGGACAAAATTATGGCTATTCTCAAACGGTAAACTCTTCGAGAGACTTTTGGAGACTTCTTACAAACTATACAATATAAAACTTTTGTGTACCTTCAACCCTCCCCGTATTTCCCATCCCTTTTTGCAAGTTTCTGTTTTATGGTTTTACAAGTTTTTCGTTATATACTCTTAACTCAGATACACATTTGTACAATAGCTACAATTTGCGAGTTACTGTTCTATTCTCTCTCTTTTTCTTTCTCTTTCTGCGAGTTATCGAAGCGTGAGACTCACCTGTCCCTGCCGACGTTGCAGTTTCCGCCGGTGGCCTCTGCTGTTGCCGGCGACTGTGGTTGCGGCGGCGTTTGCTCCTGCTGGCGTAGTTGATTGGTCTGCGAGCTGGGCACCGGCACAAGCACGGAGACAGGTATCGACTGCGTTCCCGCCGTCGGCGCCGTCGGTTGAAGTTGCTGCTGTTGTTGTTGTTGTTGTTGTTGTTGCTGCGTAGGTTCAGGTGCGTCCGGCGCTGTGGCAGCGGGCGGTGGAGGTGGCGGCGGCGGCGGCGGCGGTGGGGGTGGCGGCGAGAGGGTGTGAATAAAAACGGAATGCGTAGGCGCGGCGGGAGACGCACTGAGATCCAAGATGGCCTGCGCGGCCGACAGATCTTCTTCGGCGGACGTGCGGATCTCCGAGATCGATTGGAGACTGTAAGGACGGTAGATGTCCTTCTTTTTCGGCGGTAACGACAACGCCGTGCCGGTGCTGGTGAAGGACATCGAGAGGCTCTTGCGCGGCGGTAGACATAGCGACGGAGCGACGGACGACGACGACGGCGGCGGCGACGATGACGACGATGTTGACGATGACGGGCTTGTGTCAGCTGTGACCGTCGCCTGATGCGATGACGCTTGTTGCAGACCTGATCCGTTCAGCACCGAAACCGATACTTCCTGTTGTACGAGCGGAGGTGGCGGAGACGGCTCTACCGGACGCGCCAGCTCCGCTGCAGAGCGTAACGTCGCGTACTTAGGCGGTTCTTCGTGATTGATCCACGCCTCGTGCGTATAGCCTGAAAAAAAAGAAACAAAAAAGAGAGATAATAAGACGTACAGTTAATTAGTTTAGGCACTTGAAACATTTTATTTCTATAATTTTGTTTCACAATTTCAAGATTATTATACCGAATGTTCATTAAAAATTATTATTATTATTGTTTCGTTATTATTTCGTTGTCTCGTCATCTCGAAAAAAAAATTTATTTTATATCTCTTTTGTTTTGAAACAGGAGAGCAAGTTTCATTATTGAATTCGATATCCCTAAATTACTTAGTGATTTAAAAAAACCAAGTACCCCGAATTAACGACGTGTTTCGAATAATTCGAATAATTTCAAATAGTCCGGAATATATCTATCTATTGGTTTATCTAGTTGTTTAGTGTTTACATCTCTGTTACTTCACAATTTGTTGACAAAAACTATTAGAAAATGCAAGTTTTCTTTGTTACTTGCAATGACAGATCATCGAATGTGTAATAATCGCTCGAGAATCTTTTTGATATGAAACACTCGTAATGCAACGTCGAAAGGGCAGCGAAGGGTTACGCTTACGTGCGCGTATATAACATCTCATTCGTTCTCGGCGGCATGAATATTTGAGTCTCTGAATCACTCACGAGTTGCGTGGCCGTTTCATTTCCTGTGCGCCAGCTGTTTCCACCATATACGGTCATTAGCGAGTATGAAGGGGATGAAAAAAAAGTCGAGTGCACAGGAGAAGGTGCGCAAGTGGTGGTAGCGCGGCACGTGAACACAGTGGCGAAGGGAGGACGGAAGGGGAGTGTATAATAACGGCGGTGTGTATATCTGTTGCGCGCCGCTCGCTGTTGCGCAGGGTGGTCCAGGAATGAAGGGTGAAACTCGCGCCGTTGTTCATCCGGGCGGGGATGAAAACCGGGAAAAATTCAGACGAAACGCAAACAGCGCTTCGTATCTAACGGCGTATTCTTTTAAACACTCTCATTCCCAGTGCCGTTATACGCGGGTACGTATTTTTATTAAACCTATCTTAATTAAAATACCAGCCACATCAAGGATCTTCCATTTTTCGGATGTCCAAAGCTTTTTTTTTTTTTCGCAATAAGCTGGTCTATTCGAGGGTAGCGTGCGTTAACATTAAAGAAATTGAAGCAAACTTGGAGTAAAATTTTAATATTTTTCCGTTATAGAGAGTCTACGATTTTTATGTTCTTATAGACTGATTAAAATCTAAATTAATTTTATTTTGATGTGATACGAATTTGTGACTCTGGAAGTTTGCGTTATTGAAAACTTTATTTTTTAATTTAATTGTGTAGTTCTTAATGTGTATAAATGTCTCTTTAGCTTTTTATAACGTTATTGAAAAGAATAAATAAATATCATGAAAAAAATACCATTCTCAAAGAGAGCAAATATAAAAAAGATAAATTTGTAATGTAAATAAAAAATCTTGAAATGTTTGTTTGTTTTTTTTTTTTTTTTTTTTTTTTTTTAGGAATACGGAAAGAGAGTGGCATATTTGCATTTGTCGGATCGTTTTAAGTCATCGCAATTTGCGATTCAGCACATTCAAATGTTATCTCGTTATTAGTTATTGATGCCGTTTAAACCCCCGTTCGTGTTTCTTTTATTGTTCCTGACAATGCAGCGAAGCACGCAACGAACGACTTTCGACGTTTTGCGCCGTGAAATCGATACGCGTGCTCGTCCAGCGAGTTACGTAACGCGAAAGTCTATGCCATATAATGTAAGCAATGAGAACACTGTACGCAACGAGCAATTAATGAAATCCACTATCTCTGCTTTACATCACATACAGTGATCGGCGGTCGGTGGTATAAGTCGATTTTCTTAGAGATTAGAGAAATTTTATATAATCGGAAAAGTTAACTTTCTTTGTTGCGAAAAAAAATATAATAAGTTTTTACACAAACTCAAGTTTTAAAAACTTAACCTCGTATTTTTTCAGAGTTTTTTCATTGACGTTAAAAATCTTAATAATCTTTCATACTCAAGTTACGTAATTCTGTTAGAAAAAATCTATTTAAAAAAACCCGAGATCTCTTAAATCCTTGAGGCGTTATTTGTGTAAAAAAAAAAAAACGCTGTCTTAAATGCAATTAAAATCTCCGCATGTTCTGACATTTAAATCGAAAGTTGTTTCAGTTTTTGATGTAGAGTCACGTGCATCGAACGCGTTTCTTGCCAAACAGTTGCTTGCTTCAGCGCAACACGCTATTTTTTCCCCTAGACAGGTGAACGCGCGAGGGTCCTAGGGGAAGGCGGAATTGCGATAAATCAGAAAAGTGTGCTGCGCGAGCGATCGATCAGCTGGCGTATATCTATTATTGGCTGAAATAAAAGGGAAGTCAACACAGAGGTAAAGGAGAGCGGCCGTGTCTGCAAGTGCATTTCATCAACGGCAGAAGGAGCGCAGTTGTGCCATGGGCTGGGGGGATGGAGAGGATGAAGGAGGGTCGTGTGAGGACGGAGGGGGGAATCAATAACGGCGAATGAACGCTCCGCACGCGCTCCCACGAGTCCGTTGATTCTAGGCCCTTTTAAAAAGACGATAAAAATCTTCTTTGCGATTAACGTAAACGTCGAGGTTTTTTGCTGGTATTTCGAGAAAAACTGAAAAACGCGCGCACAGAGAAAGAAAGGATAATTATTTTAATATGTATCATAATATGTGACACACACCCACACACACACACACACACACACTACCGAAAACTGATAGATCGCTTTATAGTAACTTGTTAGTTAATCGACAAGTGTTTTACAACACTACGATATAATTACTGATCATGTGGTTATAAAAATATGACAACAAATATAAATAGACTGAAAAATGCATTGTATATTTATAAAACATATAAGAAGATAAAGAAAAAAATAGGGTTTCTTTCTTAAGCAAAGAAAAAGAATAGGGTTTCCTCTTCGAGCAAAGAATAAGTTCTGCTTTTATTAGACCGAAAAGCTTAGCTTAACCCGAAGTAGCTGCCAAATTACATTTATATCGATTGATGACGTATTGCTATCTCGATATCTGAGAGACGCACCATTTTGAAATTAAAAGATGATAAAATCATTATTACGGAGCGGGGTGTAAAGTGACATGGATTATCTATTAGACTTCTAGGTGGATTCTATATCTACATTATCTATCACAGATTACAGATATAGCCCATAAAGCATATTTATGTACCTTGAATGAACATTCCGCACATTCTTGTAGGTTTATCGCCTCTGATTTTTATCGACCCTGTGAGCGCAAAACAAAAACAGCAAGTATAAATAATTATACTTGAGCTATCAAATCATCTAATTAAAAAAAAAAAAAAAAAAAAAAACCAGTATTCTCTTAAGTCTGTCGAGAAATTTCCGTGTCTTTTGAGATCCAATGTCTAATAATATTTATCCGACAGCAAATCTATTTAATGACAACTAAAGATATAAATCTGACGTTAAATCGGACGTATATTTTAAATAGATAACAAAATCTTGTATTTAATTTATATGTAATTTTCTTACTAAAAATGTTTCACAGAAGAAATTCCGATTAATAATTTTACTTCTGTTATTTTTTATACATTGGAAAAAAAATATTATTAACCACCGTTACACATCATTGTCTTGTAGATGTAAAAATAATGAGACATTGTGTGACATAACGTATTGTTATCGTGTAAGTAAAAAGCAATCAGTAATCGCACGACGAAAGTCAAGGACGAAGAAACCTGTTAATCGACGTATGTACGTCCTTACATTTTTCTTGCATGACCGCAATTTATCATCATCATTTTCTTGAAATTTTAATTTTTACAATGGATAAACATTAGTACAATTTCTTTTCTTTAATAATCTTTTTATATAAATGTATGTGTAGGTAAGTTAATAGTTTGTATACGAACAATAGACTGCTAACGTATTTTTTAGAGATTCGTATTTTGTATATAAAAGAAATATAAAAACGTGTTAAGTGGTAACTAATTAGTTTTAGAAAAATATGTTACGTCAATAAAATTAAACAATTAATTTTTTGAGACAAATTAAGAAAGAGAGATTTACGATAAATGTTATATATATTTTATCTCAAATAATTTCAGATTTAATTTTGCAAATCTTGATTTTAATCGTCACGCGATTTTAATTGTAATGTACATTTTAGCGACGAAGAAAACATTTGTTACATAACGTCATTAGCACCATTACAAGAACACGTGCGCACTCTACTGTCTATAAATATAGCATAACTCAGGACTGAGATAAAAAGAGGTTGTTACCCCGTTCTCTTGATTTTCAAGAATATCTAATACCATATCCAAAAAAAAGCAATTAGCAATTGATTCATGCATGCAGAATTATGCACTCGGAATTTTTGTTGCGTAAATTTGTTGCACTTTACTTGTGCACCTTTATTTGCTTATATGAGTTAATATAAACATTTAAAACATCTTTAAACTTTAAATTCAAAAACCGCTTTTATTTTAACACTTTTTTGTTCATCTTTTAACACTTTTTATAGTTTTGCAAAGAGAAGAAGACTTATAAAAAAAAAAAAAAGTAGAATACTCTTTTCTCTTCTCCTTTGTGAGAAAGAAAATATAATTAAAAATCCTCGTTTAACCTCGTTTAACACGATTGCGTAATTCGCATGAGATTTACGTAAAGAGTTGTTGTGTAAAATAAAATTAAAATATACAAATAAAAACAAAATCAAATTTGGACAGGAAACTGATGCTATTCGACAAACATTTAATAATGTAATTCAGCATTTGATGAATGCGCATTCATCAGCATCTACGTCGCGAAAGCAATTCGACTGTTCTGGATAACAGTGGTTACACAACAACCACCACCGCCGCCGCTGCCGTCGTCGTCGTCAACGCAGTTAGTTTCCTCCCTCTCGGTCTGATGGAGAGCTCAATAAATGCGATAGACGAAATAGCTCTTGCTGCAATAGCTCAGCGATATATCAGGATCATAACTCAATGTTAAGGATGTCGAATGTTCGACCGTGATCGATGATCTACAAACGGGTGTGTCGCCATGTACGCACGTACAGGACACATGGCCGACTTCGCGGACACGGTTTCCCACAGGTCGCAGAAACGCATGTCGCGTAATCGCTCGCGGTGCTACGGCCTCTTTAACGGATTATCTTTCCGCATTCCCAACGGACAATATCATGCTGTAATCATGGTGCGTTTAAGCAGCTACCGCAATCTGTCTATAGCGCACGCGGGCGTCTAATAGGCGGGTGTGTCACCCGTCTGTGTGCTCGACGCATGGCCAGACTTATGGTCGTGTCTACTTGAAGCAGACTGAAAAACCTCGTAAAAGAAAATTGGAAAAAAAAACAAAAAGAAAAAAACCAAAAAATCCAAGCCAAACTTTTCACTTGCAGATCCCAAACACACTGCAAACATTCCCGAAGGAAACCCTTAGGTCTTGGGCGTGGCGCGTCTAACCTACACCCACGAACACTACATCATGTAAAAGGGAATGACTCGTCATGCTATCGCGAAGAAGCGAAATGTTCGTTCCGAAGGTTCGCACTCACCATGATAGTAAAGAGCGCCGGAAGCATTAAGGGGTGGCGGGCTGGGAGCTGTGGCCCCCGCCGTTGGACTGTGGGGACCCCAACAGGTCTGCTGATGGTCAACCTGATGATTATCGACGTCTCCGACTACATCAATCTCCTCGTCTTCCGGCTCATGCCTGTGCGGCCGTTTCTCCATGGCATCCGCGGTCTGATGCAGCGCATGATGTTGCGCCTGCTGTTGCTCCTGAAGGGCGGCCCCGGGTGGCGTCACGTCCTTCTGCTCGTTCTGTTGATCGTCCACGCGAGCCTGCCACTGATTCCATTTCCACTTTTTCGCCATCAGACAGCGTGGCATACTGAAGACGCGACTTTAATTTTGTGCTGCGACCGGTGACACCAGAAGCTGCTATTAACAGTGATGACAGTCGTCGTCCGATCACCAAGGACGACGACTTTGGCCTCCCTGAAGAAATACACCCACGCGGCACACCAACACTGACACGCTCAACACCAACAAACGCGACACCAATCTCACCACCGACGTCGTCACTCCCAACCGCGACTACGGCGCGTCCGTCGCCGTCGTTACTACCTGCTGTGCTTTTTTCACGGACGACGTCGTCGTCGTCGTCGTCGTCGTCTACACGACGTCGACGTCTACGTCGCGCCCGACCGTCGCCCGGCCCGGCCGTCTGTGAGTGCGACCTGTCGAACCGATGGACGTTGGAACCGCCTCCTCGACTGTGTGGCCGCTCGCTGGCCGGCTTCGCCTTCGTCCTACGTGGTACACGCTGGTGTGGGACCTGCAGCCTCGTCATCGGCTCGGCGAGGGCGGCTCCTTAAACGGATGCACCACCGCCACCATGCCAGCCACCAGTAGCTTGCAATCTTGCAGGCTTCGCCAGTGCTTCTTCTTCGTTCGTTCCTTAGAGGATGGTTGATGGTCGAAAGACTCCTATTTGGACTTTTTCTTCCGCGGTTTGTGTATATGAATAAATATGTGTGTGTGTTTTTATATATTATATATATATATATATATATGTATGTGTATTGCGCGTGTGTACGTATGTATACGTGCTTGTATGACTGTGTATGTCTAAGGGGAGGTGACTCTTCCTTGCGTCCCGAAACTTGCCGAGTGGACCGACTGACTGACTGACTGACTGACTGACTGAAGACCGTCCGTCCGTCCGTCCGTCCGTCCGTCCGTTACTCTTTCGGTCGCTCCCTGTCGCGGCTCTCGCCAGTGACAGGGGGTGGCCTCGAATACGACGGCGACGACGGGGTGCGACTGTTTAGTCGGTGGCGCTGCCGCTCCGTCTTACTGTCCCCTCGGACTCTACCCCTTCTCCGCGACTATCGCCACCTCTATCGCGCTCACGAGCTTGTTCTCGTCGCTCGCTGCGGGCTCGACTAGTCAGCAGCACCCCCGGCATCCCTCCGTTGCGGCTCCCCTATCGCGGACAAAATCGAGGGATGGCGCTGCTGCCGTTGCTGCTGCTGCTGCTGCTGCTGCTGCTGCTGATGGTGATGGTCTGCGCGTGGGGTTGCACAGCTACCCCTCGAGAGTGCTGATGTCGGTTCTCGATTCCTGCAGATCGCTCGTTGTGGTTGTGCGTACGTGATACGCGCGCGTGCCATAGAGACGAGCGTGTGTTAGCAATGTCAGTGGCGTAGAATGCGAATTGTTTGCACAGTACCGCAGTCCTTAATCGGCGCATTTTTATCAAAGACCAGATAAATTTTCTACGGAAAAGAAATATTCATTCAGAGATATAATTTAGCTAAGTTAGAACTTGACGTGAAATTTATTAGAATTGAAAAAAAAAAAAAAATTTCCGCGACTTCTTGAAAAGATTTAAAAATGACAATATTATATCATACGCGCAATGGCGCGACATAAGTTTTGTATTGCACCGCGATATTACGCTTTATTCATATAAACGATGATTTCGTATTCTTAGTACGTGTACACGTGACATTATACTTTGCGTAAAGGTGGATTTATGTTGCACTAGGTATTTTTCGAGCTCGCTATACGTAGACTGGTTCGTGCGGCCTGATTTAAAAAGAAGATTGGAAAAATGTAAAAGAGGAAGCCATAGTTACAATATATACCAACTGTGCTCGCTACGCTCGTATTTATCCGTTGCATTATGAATGACGGGTTCTGTGTGTTATAACTAATTATGCAATTTTATAATTAAATTTTTTGGATGAATTATTATGAACTGTTATAAAATGTGCAAAGAGAGAAACTCGGTTTTTTTTTTTTTTTTTCATTAGTAGTAAAGATATAAATTTAGGTTTTTTTTTTTAATGCACATAAGCGGTAAAACATTACAAACTTGTGTTTCTAAAAACTTGACACGTATTAAAATAATACAATACTTTTTACAAGTTTTAAACGCTCCTTTTTCTTTTCTATTATTTTTTTCACAATTAGTTCTGTTATTGTTATTTTTTTTTTATTTTTTATTTTTTTTAATATAATTGTACGCAAGATCATATCATCTCAAAACAAATTGAAATGCGATATCGACACGTGTGCGCCGAACTTTTCAAGGGGGGAGGGTTTTAGTCGGGACGAGATTTCCGGTCGACCGGCAAAGTCTCTCGATTCCCGGTCATCGACCTCTCACACGCTATGCAACGCGCGTAAGCTATCTGTAAATCTCTTGCTCGCAAACTCTGCTGCGTTGTTTATCGTATCCCGTTGCTTCCTGAGTAACCCAGGTATACGTACGCACAAAAAACACACTACTACGGAACTGTAGCAAAAATCGAACAGCTGTTTAGGGTACCACGTTTCCCGAGCCTCGTTCCTGTTATTACGAGTGTGTAAACTCCCTTTTCTTCTTTCTTCGTCTCTTGAGACAGAAAGGTACAGAAAGATTGAGGGAGAGAAGAGAAGAGAGAGAGAGAGTTGACGGTAATTCCTACAGAAGATTGGCTGCATAGTGACGATGCCATAGCGATATACGTCGTCTACTTGTTGTCGCTAACAGTAGTGGTGTGGCGACGGTGATGATGGTAGTAGTAGCGCAAGGGTGGCGCACGTCGGAGCAATACTACGCAGAGGTATATCTCCCCTCGTGCAAAAACGAGGAGAAACGACGAGGGTGATGTGCATGTGTGTACGTGTGTGTGTGTATGTGTGTGTAGAGAAAGGGAAGAGCAATAGGGAGAGCACAGGATGCAGAGTGCGGAAAAGGAGAGGAGAGGAGAAATGGGTAAAAGAGGGTAAAAGGGGCGGGTGAGGGGGAGAAAGGACGCACATGCGCCAGCGCTCGGCATCGACCCGATGTCTCGGCAACACCTGGTAGCGCCCCACGTGCCACGTTAGGCTGGCACCAGCGCCACCCCACGCGCGATCCATGCCTCCGGTATCGAATATCCCACTGGCCTTACCCTCGCACCCCGCTTCCTCGTCTCCCGCGGTATCTCTCGCGTTTCTACTGACCCACGCCAACGGCGGAGAGATGGGGCACCTCTTTCGTCCCTCGCTTTCTGAATTCTGCGCCCGATGCACGCGCCGCGAATGCCCGGTGCCGCGACGAGGGAATTCCTTTTTCGGGGTGGGGTGCGCGGCTGGAATTTCAATACGCGAGAGCTCTCGCGCGCGCGGGTGGGTCCGTTCGCTGTGCGAACGATTCGGGGAAAGCTCCACTATGCTATGTAATGCCGTTATTACACGCGTCGATATGAGATGATATTGTTGTTGAAGCGCGTTGACGGATTATCAAGACAGAGATAACTTTTTCCATCGAGATTTTTGTTTGAGAATATTTCTGTGAGAATTTCGCATTCTGTTTGGTAATAACATGCGCGGCATGTTACATAAATTTGTCATATGACGAATGTAATATCGAACCTGCGCGCTGTAACGTCGTGTCCATTTATTTTCATACAGCGCGCTTGTTGCTTTTGCGACGCAGCGTCAGAAGCAACCTCTCCGTATAAATATGAGAAAATTCGAGCTGAGAGATGATATCGCGGAGCGCGCGCGGGAAAAAGCTTGTTTAAACGAGAAAGAAAGAGAAAAAAGAGTTTGAAACGCGAGAGATTGAAGAATGCGGCGCGATTCTTATACGTTTCGAAAGAATAAAAATACTGTCCTATACGATTCGCGCGAAACACGATCCTCCCCCCCCCTCCCCCGTTGAATTTAGTTTTCCTTCAACCATTCCCATTTTCGATATTGTTCCATCGACTCGGTTAAACGATGGAATATATCTCGGAGATATTTGAGCTCGATAAAGAGAAATGGAAATTTCTCTCACGAATAATATTTGCTAATTGGAACGTTCTCGTGAAGAAATATAGAAGGACGCGTTACATTGAGTGACCTAGAATCCTCGTTCGTGTGCCGCATGTAGCGAAGCCTTCTGACCTATTTCGATTTCGTTTATCCGTTGCTGAATTCGCGAATAGGAGGAAGGTATATGATTGGGTGAATACCCGCTATCGAATAACTTCAAATTAATGAGAATGGAAAAGACCACGCTGCCTCATTGAGTTTCATTCAGACTTGGACTTAACGTGCAATTTGAATTTAACCTGTAGAGAAATCCGTGTAAGACTTTATCTCGAGTACATAGCACAGAAAATTAAGCGTCACGATGTGAACTTCTCCATTAAGACAAAGAATTATTTCCACGTCGTGAAGTTATCGCGCGATCCCATTATCCTTCGCGTAATCCCGTGCGACAGTCCTTCTCTCTCTTTCTCTCTCTCTCCGTTCTCTTCTCTCCTTCGATATTATTCCGTTAAAATTTTGCTTCGGGAGTAGCTTCAAACGTGGAGTCATCAGCGATAATCTATTACCAAACGTTGCGCGCCCACCAAGAGCAGATAAGCCTTTATCGTTTATATAGCCGCGCCTCTCACCTCGCGATACCCCGTTACGCGAAATCGTTATTAATTAGTTCAGCTTATCGTAAACTATCGGGGTCACATCGAGGCGCCTGAATTATTTTGCACGGACGCAAGCTCGGTCACGTAGGGTGTTTACCCCTAAAACCTTCTTCATGGTACAATAGAACGCGTTAATGACGACCGCTCACGTTCTCTCTCTCTCTCTGCCTCTCTCTCTCTCTCTCTCTCTCTCTCTCTATCTATCTGTATTATTCGCGCTACAGTACCCTCATAACGCGGATATATGTGCTATGTACACAGGTATACAATACGCCTCCGCAATTGGTGTTAACTTTCTCGAAATAATAATGGAGAGACGTCCGCTTCAAAGGAATGACAGTTTTAGACCGTACAACTACGTTATTGACTTTGAATCGCGCTTCAGGTTAAAGAGATAGCGGCAGATGACGCGACGAAGATGGAATGGTGGGGTATCGTGTCAATCTTACAATTAGGGACACGCCAAATCAATGCTCCGCGCGTTACATACGACGTATATATGTGCGGATCAGGGAAAATACATTCACGCCGAGATCTCGAGGCAAGACTCCCCGGACTCGGGGCCGCCTAGTAAGTTAACATCGAGCAAGATGTATGCGTGAGACGAATAATTTACGAGGCACGGTCGGCTCCGATTTAGATCCCGATTCGGCTACACGGGCCTGGTCTCTACGGGGGTACGCGAATCGGGGTGAGATTGTGCAACG